ACGGCGAATCTCTGAAATTTTCAAGATTCTAATCTTTTTGACACATCACAAACTCTGATCGCCACACACACTAGTAGCAAGATCATTGCTGGCTGAAAGGTTAGGCAAATATCAGTCTTCTCGTAGTTAGAAACAGTAAGTAAAAATAAATGTTTCTATGTAGTAACTTTTTAATTTGCATTTTGGCCGCAAAACTTAACACAACAAGCAACAAACGAAGTTGACTATATATTCCGTTAAAAAAATCGCACTTATCTTTGGTATTTTCAGAAATGGCGGAAACTACTAATCATCGGAACATCTCTAGTCGAAATCGATTATTAAGTCGAAGTTCCTCAATATTTTAGCATCTCGCATATAAACTGTAATTCTCAGAGGAGTTAAGTTTTATGCACTATGCATTCACTATTATACGAGATTTATATTCTTATGGCTTCCGAGCTCTCTTGCGATGAGTATTGAAGTTTTGAGTTGTCTCTCGAAAGGCTGGTCCCGTACTATTGTTTGTAGTAAGCTGAATAGGCTGAGGCCTAACCTGTCTGCATTTCAAGAATGTTGTCTCTGCGGGGATCGGAGCGAGATTACAGATGCCCCCTGTCAAGGAGACGACGAAATACTCGAGCTCCATTGTGATAAAAGCGCATACCGCCGCCGTCAGTAAGTCAGTCGAAAACTAAAACCGTTCAGCGTGGAAATATAAATTTTTATTAGAATAGTGGGTAGAAGTATGTGAAAAGTTAGTTATTTTGGACGAAATACATTGTCAGATCAGTTAAATTTTACGTGGAGTCTACCAAATCAGTTGTAGTGATTTAGAAACAATAATATTCATTTAGAAAGTACATTTAGGACAACAGAGGAACCACAAGTTACGAAAATATCATTTAGATGTGCGTGATTGGCGATGTGGCTATATGGCGATATGGTGGCCATAGTAATAATAAAACTGATTTGAAAGGCAGGCGAAACATCATAAAAGACTTTTTACTGCACCCCACCCCCAATTTTTAAAATAAATTACAGTTCATTTAGCAAGGTAGCAAAGCTAACATCAGCTTTTACGGAAATTAAATTTATTCGTGAAAATTGTCACTCTTGATAATTGCCTTCATAGGTTGACTCTGTGGTGTAACGAAAGTATTGTGGAACTTACTGTCTCAAAGTAAAAAGTAATAAACTTCCATCACTCTATACTTATCACTATTAATATACTGAGTTTCAATTTGGAAAGGTCGTGCTTTTCCAAGCCCTAATGTGCCTATTGAAATCTTTTATAATTATTGTAGTGTTTAGCTTGAAGTATTAATTGTTTCCTTAGAGATATTATAACCATAAATGTATGGCTTATGCAGGTCTTGTTATTTTTCTTAATGAAATAAATAAATATTCGGCAAGGTAGAAGCAGTTTGAAATACCAAATAGTCAAGAAACCAATTTCTGCTTCTTTCAAAAATGATGAAAATCCATTTAACAATATAAATAAGAACTGAAATATCAAATTTGATAAAGACACGGTGTTGTCAAAACAATTGTCATGTGAAAATCTGAACTTTTAGTTCTTTTTTCTTTAAATAAATAAATCGGGCTATACTCATGTTAACTACTCCGTATTTTCTATGGCTAGTCTTATACGTTAAGTAACACAATTGTAATGAACTCTTTGCTGAATATATTTTTTGGCTTATTCCCTATACTAGCCGCTCAGGTGGTCGCCATCAGCCTTTATTAAACAATAACTATTTCGTTATGCAAAAGGAAAAAGATTCAGCCTCTGAACTATAAATGACGTCATTCCAACACAAATCCCGATCGTTAAAAGTTTTTCAATCCCGAGTAGTCTCGAGACTCGTCCATCGATTTTTATGATGCCGCCATCGCGTTCGACTGTGACGTTTGCGACACTCTGAAACAAGCTTCGAGACACTCAATATACAGGGTGGATCTTGTCTATCATAACTGTAATATTATTTCAAATTTTAACTAAAATAAACTAAAATATTTTTTTCCTTGCACTTTAGTTAAGAGCATTTTTAAAACAACTTTTATTAAAGCCTTTAAGAAGAAGACAATTTTTGCACAGAAGAATACACTAAGGGTATATTTTTTCAGAGCACATTCGAAAAATGTGCTGAAGCCTGATATTTTAAAAGATTATCCCAGAAGAGTCGTTATGTGTAAAAACAAATTTTGAGGATCCCCTCCAACATATACGTATGCGGATATATTAAATTGAAAAAGGAGAAGAAATAACCGTTTTTTTTACATATAATAAACAGTAAAATCCAAATCCAATGATTTATTTTTTTATTATTACCAAACTAATTTTTTTTTTAATTTTTGTAAGTACGAGTAGTACTTACAAATAATAGCAACTCCCTAAAATGGTAAAAAAATAATAATACTGAGGGTACCAATTATCAAAGAACTCAGTTCTCAGTTGTGTTCCACCGATATTTTTCATAATATTAAAAATTAACCGAACATTGCACAAAGGATCGTCTAGATGTATAATGTTAAATTTGTCAAAAATAGGCTCTTTTTGTAAAAATCGTGAAAAACTTCATAGTTCTTGCACTTTTAAAATTTTATACCTAGCCTATCCATTATTCAACTGTTATGAAATTGTCAGGAGGGATATAATTATGACTTTTTTCAGGTTTTTTAATGGTTACAAAAAGGCACTATAAAAACTTTATGAAAAAATCGCCGAAACACATCAAATGAGAAATGGATTCGAGTTTCCAAATGCACTCTTTGATAATAGGTACGATATTTTTATACAATTTTAGGGTGTTGTTATAATTTATATATATTAATATTCAGTTCGTGTTTAAATACGAAATATTTTTGCTTGATTTGCCAAGTATAATACCACTTTTGAGTCTATTTTTGTTAAAGAATAGGAATGTTTTTTATTTATTTTTTTATTTCTCTATTGCTCTGGAAGTAGTTGGTATTTATATGCTCAGAATCATGTTAAAATAAAAAAATGTGTTTGCTAATTTACTAATTTGTTTCAAAGTGTATTATAAATAGTCTTGGTTAATTAAATTTTCTAACCACAATATGGCCACAATAAAAAATCATCCTTGTATATAGTAATTAAATAAAAAAGATTAAATTTCGATATATTTAAAATTCTATTCTTTGAATAAAAAGGCTTTAACCGGATATTTTTCTTATTTTTTGTGTAGCTAAGTGCCCAATCCTGCATAAAGTAGCAAAGTATACAATATTTCATAATCATCGGCGGCCATTGAACACTTAGAAAATGATCTTATTTACATAGAAAATGAAATAAATATCCTCTAAAAAAAGGATTTTACATAATGATGTAATTTTACAAGCCTGGCTATGTGAAATTTTCGTAGCTCTTTATATAATTTTTTGGAACGTCCAAATTTACATGGTTTTACATATTATTTACCAATCTGTATGTGTTAATGTTTAACGCGAGTGTTTAAAGTCAGTTCCAAGTAAGCCACGGATATTTTCCATGAACAAACAATGGTTTTACACAAAATAATACGTAGAAGTACATGACCATTCACGTATGTTTTTAACATTAATATGACCGCATAACATTACATTATCAGTTAATTAAATTTGATGGAAATTCAAAGATGATTACATTACTACTTTGATGTAGTGACATGTTACCAAGGCAATATATTACCAATCATAATTAAGGTAATTTCATAAAAATATTTCTTCCTGTAAAAATTAAAAATTACGCCTAGTTTTTGTAGACACCTGCGATATCGCCAATAAAATCCGCCCGCAGTCAAAGCGCCTGTCTAGTTGCCTAACAAGTGGTCCGAGGGCTATACCTCCATCCGCTGCTCCTGATGCCGCCGCCGCCACCCGCCTCCGTCGCCCTGCAGCATCGAACGCCCGCTTGATGAACTATAGCTTACCCGGGGCTCACAAAATGAACGTTCCGAAAGCAGATGGGAAAAATGGAAAGAGTGCCGCCGCCGCCGCCCCCGACCTAAAGGGATTTATAAAAATACGTCCTTTGAGTCCGACAAAGCCGACGCTCCTGAATCGGTCTCGCTCCCACTCCCGCGAGAGAAACTGAGCTGCTATTAAATTGGAGATATACTGTCACTCGGAAAAGGTCTCGGAAAATGATTAGTCCCAGTCAGAGTACAATAAAAAAAGTAAAACCACTTAAACCGGTCTGATTTTCTTTTTCTCCCCCTCTGGGGGAAAAGCGAAATCGAAAAACGTATCCGACGGGGGGCGGCGAGTGCGGGGAACGCACCATAAGACAGACGCAATTAAGGATACCGAGGAACCTGTGGTGTTGACGTTAAGTGAAGTATATACGAGGCGATCGATAATATATAAATATCCAAAAATACCTTCCATAAAAATCAGGGAGCTATTCATTTTATATCCATACGCTCAGCCTTATCTAGTAAATCCATCTCCAAAGCGTTTGACAGTGGTTGTTGCAGAAGTTTGTGATGCAATCTGTGGTTAGACATCAACAGCGATTGTAATCTCGCCCGGTGGGCCCCAAAGGGGATTCGTTGGACCAGTTTTGTTATCGTTATAATACTGGCGAGGTTTTCTGTTTCACAGAATTTTCCATGTATAATGCTTCTCTCAAACTTAACATATATTAACATATGATGTCGCGCTGTGGTGTGACGAAAACTGTACTTATTAAACTTGCGAAAGTGCCAACTGATCCTGAAGAGTTCATACTTTATGGGCTGACATATTGAACTTGTTGTTGTCCATGTATATAGAAAGAACCTGTCTAATCGCAATTAACAAATGATACTAGAATTGTTTCCCGTGGTATAAGGAGGATGCTATTAGGAGAAACAATTTTCTGTTATGTTTCATTCATAAATTGGTCAGTAATCTCATTGACTGTCAGAATCTATAAGTTGCAATGGAGTTTCGGAAATATTCTATCTAAAGCAACCTGCGAGAACTGTTATGGCAAATTAGGGCTAAAACAATTTCCAAGTGGAGAGACTTACCGATAGATCAATTTTCTTCTGACCGATCTCTTGAAAAATCCGGAGCACCCGTTACAGGCCAGTATGCCGTAATGTTTACCGGAACTGGTGTCGCCACATACGACGCATATTAGGCCGGGGGTGCCCTTCTTCGTAGGCACGCTCCAAGGTGGAGGCGGAGTCCTGGAGGCCTGCACCAACGTCTGCGAGTTGGGCAAACACAGCGCGAGCGGATGGTCGTTTTCAGAAGCGTAACAGTCGACGTTACCAGGTGACGTGCGTAGGTCTGGAAATGAAAGGATTAAACATCATTATCTGTCTATAGTCATTCAAGAAATTATGAAAAACTTGATACACGCCCGAAGATAAAATAAAAACCCTTTCGAAGAAACAAAGAACAAAGTAAAAGGAATGTGTTTTATTCCACCCCCCTGTAACAATCGAAAACAAATTTAATTAATTAGTTACTACAGAATTTACAAGTTTTGAATAAATTTTCATGGTCATAAACGAAGACTCCCCTCATCAACGATAATCAAAGAAATCAAATTACTAATATAAAATTGCTTTCACTTGCTACATTAATAGGATTTAAATCTATTTTTTGTAAATTTACATACCTCACTGTGCAAGATTTACAATCAAAATGCGCATGGGCCAGTCACTACTACTCCTTTTCAACAAAGACCTCGCAGAGTACAACATTCAACATGGCCGTTCAAAATTCGTCAATTTGACTGATGCTTTCCGTTTGAATATGGCATTATTCGATAGTGTTTTGTGAAAAAGGAAGTGTGTGAAAATGGTACCAAATGCTGTTTAGTTTTCAAAGAAAGTTCCACAAGCTACTGTAATACTATTTACAAATCTTCTGGATTCCTCCTCCGTCCAAACTCTATTCTGTACCTGCTTATATATAGGGTGGTGGAGCTAAAGGAGTGGAGTGAACATTGTCTCGGACGACTCATTCCCACATTGGTGAAAGGTAAAGCCTGAATCGCGGTTAAAATTCTTAGGTTAGATTGCTGATAGATTTCCATGGATTCTCGGATTTTTCTTTGGCAGAAGAATTGAATAAGATCTGATATCCGGTTTCATGGTGGTGACAACTGCTGACAGGTTTATTTTTGACTCCTTCATGTTCTTCTGTATTCTTGTATTCTTGTTTGCCACATATGCATGGAATTCTGTAAACTCCTGGTATCTCAAGAGAAAGTTTGTCTTTGAGGGATCGAAGATATTAAAAGATTTTTGGTTTTTTGGTTTTCTAGTATTCTTAATAATTTTTTGATATGTGTTGAGAGATGTTTTGAATGAAAGGAAGGACAACAGTGGCAAGTGTGGGGTTGCTCTCGGACCCATGGTCTTTGAAAGGTTGTAGTGAAATGTATTTTGTGATGGAACGCTTAATACCTCTAAAATGGATATTATTTGAGAGAGGTCCAGATGTACATTTTTTTGGATTTGATTGGATTTGAAGAAGAAAGTTGATAACAGAATGACTCAACTAGTGCTTGTTAGTTGTTGCTTGTTGGGTCAGTTCCTGGAAGTTTTGAGCGTTTAAAAAGTGATCGGATGAACGAAATCCACAAAACGTAGCTTATTCTTTCTAATTAGGCACAGAATTCCTAATATTATGTCTTATAACGGTAGGGAGCTCAACTGCCCTCGAGACACTATTGACCGCTTTGTCGCGTTCTTCTCGAGCATATATGCTCCCTGCTCTACTAGGGGCACAATTATTCACTATAGTAACTATCAATTCAAGTCCCAATCCCTAGCACGAAGGAGGTTCAGCGGGTTACCCGGGCTTCTCGACCAGGGAGGACACGGTGATTCCTGCTATAAACAGCATAGAAGAAAACACTATTCTACAATGTTTAACAAAATTAAAAGTGTGTTAGTGCAACCTCTTGCCTTTCTTTTCAATCCTTCATTATCAACAAACAGTTTCGAAAACTCTGGAAAACTTCCAGACTTTGTCCTGTTTTTAAATCAGACGACAAATCCTTTCTAACTAATTATATGCCCATCTCTACCTAATTTCGCTAAGGTCTTTGAGATGACCGTGTATGATCGATAGTTACAAATCTGCCTGCTTTTTTCAAAATAGCCTAAATAACAAATTACAAGTCGATACAATCTACACGAATTTCTCAAAGGCCTTTGACCTTATCTGATTGGGTTTCTCCGATCATAGTTATCAGAGCGTTCTAGCGCCACTTTCCTTTTCTATCTTTATTAGTGATATTGGCTCTGTCACATTCTGCTATTCACAGACGACTTAAAAATATATAGGTGTATAAGTACACTGGATGACTGCAAGGCTCTGCAGAAAGACATAACTGCACTGTCATCATGGTAGACTGTAAAATGGTTAAGGACCTTGGGATGTATATTGGTAGGGACGTAGATCTGTTCAACGCCTGTCTGTCAAAAACACTGTTAATGAATACTTGAAGGGTCTGGGATGTTTGGCACTCTCTCATATATTTGGACTCTGTTAAGATTAAAAAATGAACAGGAGCAAAAACCATGTTGAAGCCGTAGATAAAACAATAAACAGTTATTAGCAATTTTGGTGAAAATAACGACCAAATAATAATTAAATACCCATTACTAGAAATTAATTTATTATTTTAATTATTACTATCGTTTAGTCTTTTTCATATATTTTATTGGGCGTTCCTTAGCATAAACAGTATTTATAATCCTGCACGCTTCCCGAATTCTATTTTTCATATCTTATGGTATTGTACATATCCCCACAAACAAAAATCTAATGATGTTAAGTCACATGATCGAGGGAGCCACTCAATGGATCCTCTACCAGCCTATTCCTGTCGGAAATGATTATTTAAAAATTCTCAAACTTCTCGATAGTAATCCGAATCTTGCTGAAACGACATTTGTTCGATATCAATGTCATCAACTTCTTGAAGAAGTTGAGGTAAATCATTCCGCAAAAAGTTTAAATAATAAAAAGAATGAACTATAGTCCAATAACTTAAAAGTGTTTTATTCCACATCACACATTTGGGCCAATGGTTTTGGTGTTGCACCCAGAATGTTAAATAATAATGCATTTTATGGAGATTAACTGCACCAAAAATTTGGATCCGCCTCTACTGCTCCATTTATAATGGTGCAGAAGTTTACCCTCAAAATCACGTCTAAAAGTTCTGGGTGTAGTTCTATATGGAAGGGATGATGTATGTATTTTCTAATGGTGCGATTAACGGTAGATTGGGATGTATCACATCAGCTAACTACTTAACAACCTGGATATTATCTCGAACTTGAAGTAAAATTTCCAACTCTTTTTCCTAATTGTTAACATTCCGGTTTTCCATTTTCCGTTTTACATATCCAATACTACCGCGAGCATTAACAACCGTTCCATTAAACACCGAAGAGGTTATCTATAGCGGGTACCATTTGTGATGGCATAGTCGGCAATAAAATTCCAGACAGAATAAAATAGATTGTTCTACTTGCTTCCACTTATACTTCAACAGATGTTGTTCTGCCCTCAATGTCTATCATTATCACGATTATATACTTGGAAGTAAGAGAGACAGAATCAGTTGTACTTGACATTTATTAATTTAACTATTACTGCCATACTCAGAGATGCATTCACGTAGTTTCTAGGTAATAATAGATCAGGGTGTTCCTTAATGATGTGCGAATATATAAGTACGTCAACCTACATGAAAAAATTATGATATTTTTTTAAATAAACTATTGTCTGATAACTGATTAATTTCAAAAGGAATTCAAAACAAAATTTAAAAGTATTGTGTTCAATTAAAAAAATATATGTTATACTCGTCACGATTTTTTGAGCCACCCCGTAACTTTAAAATAATTTAATGTTGTGCATGCTAACAAATTTTACAACTTTGGTATTTACAATTTTCTCATAACTTTTTAAACCAATGAGATAATGAAATTTACTTATATAAATATCAGATAATACAGTGACCCAACTACGGCAAAAATTGATGCACCCGAGGCGGCACTGATAACAACGATTCCTAGATCTAGGCAACATTGCCGTAAAAATGCCGCATCTAAACTTATTGACGATCTGTCAGCGGTCATGTTGGTGATTGAAGGCAGCAGTATCATTGGTTGAAAACGAAAATGTCGAATGGACCTTCTTTTTTTTTTCATAGTTACTTCAAATGTTCCTGTACTAGAGGCAGGGCCTTTGTATCTCAAGTATTATAAAAGGTAAATAAAGTTTCTGTTTCTTTTTCTTTTTCTTCTTCGCTCATAAAATTTTTGACTAAACGTCAAAATTTCGTTAGCGAAAATTTCCAAGCAACAAACTTTCATATCAATCCGAAATTTGCTGCTTTCTGAGATTTATCTAGAAACATAAACATCACCTCATTATAAATATGTAATTTGTTGGGTACTAACGAGCTCCTGCGGCAAAGAAAACGTGGCATTCATCTCATTATTTAATCGCCCGCCACCAATTCGATACATAAATTAAATTACACTAAGAGGGCCGGATTTCCATGACAATCGCGCACCGTCTCCTTTTTAACGCACCAAACTTGAGCCATATGTAAAGTGCTGCAAAATATTTTCAGATTGAATATCACCCCAGGTCCCTTGAGCTTTGAACGATAGAGAAGAACGCCGGGACGACGTAGCGGGTTAGAAAAGGACGCCCTCGAGGGCAGGGGATTAAGTGTGTCTCTATTTAATTCCGGTGTATTAATTTGTATTATACGAGGATAAAGTGGTGGCATTATGATAGAAAGTTGCCCCCCGACGCAGAGGGTGCGCGTATATATGGAGAGATCCCCACGAGCTTTGGGGTCCGTTTCGTAGTCGACGGGAACATGTGGTCAGGCAAATTAAAAATCTATTACGATAAAAGGATATTTAACGCGGGTTTTACGGGCATTGCTATTTTGAAGGGCGGATGGGTCTAGGTTGATATGACAACGAAATTCAGTTGGTAAAATGGGGTAACTATAGAACCGGATTGTTGCAAAACTTCAATGGAAAATTTACTTTTGTATTTGCGACAAATAATTAAATATAACTTCAAACTATAAGGAAAAAGAACGTTTGAAATTTCTTAATTTTTTGTATAGAATGGCAAGAAATGTTAAAATCGGTAAGACCTTATATTGAGTCCGTGATATTGTTTATTACCTTCCTAAAAAATATCAAAAATTTAATTTTTTCAAGCTATAGTAGTTGTTGCCACGGTTTCGCCACAGTTTAGTAACAAAAAATGTAAATACAGAGGTAAAGACA